AAAATCCCTGTTGCTGAAGTGGCTAGGGCGCCAGCCACAGACACAGGAGCTGATAGGTTCGAATCCAGCCCAAGCCTGTCAAAAAAATCCATTAAGGCTGGATTTCTACACCACATCACTAAGTGACAGTATTTCTCTCTTGGTTGACATTATCCATCATCTATACCTTTTAGGTTATTCAATCAGTAGCTAATGCACCCAATGTATTTCTCTACCTATTTTTAAAATATGAGATTTAATTATGGGGAATTTCAAATATATAAAAAAAAACTGAGAGAAAGATAACAGATACTCATGTATATACTACCTAGGACTTATGCTTTTCATTTTATTTTTAAATTACAGCAAAACTGACCATTTTTGGTGTACAGTTCCCTGAATTTTAACATTACCACCCAGATTCAACAAATTCGTATTTTCTTATGTTTGTGATGATCTTTCTTGTTTTTGCCCAGGCTGGAGTGCAGTGACTATTCCCAGGCACAATCATCACATTCTACAGGCTGAACTCCTGGGCTCCACCGATCCTCCTGCCTCAGCCTCCCAAGTATCTGGGATTATAGGCATGTGCCACTGTGCTGTGCCTGGCTCGATTTTTTTTTTTAAGAATATAGAAATAAAATGTTATAGGTACAGGTAAAATAAGGTTTCCTACCAGCCTAACTCAGTCCCTCCCTCTCCGAAGGTAACCTCAAGCCAGAGGGTGGCTTGCCCATGTTTTGACACTTTCACTACATAGATAGTTATCTGTAAACAACATATATGACTGCAGTAATGTTACATATATCTTAGACATTGGCATAAAAGGCAGCATACTATACAGACGGATGTAAATGTATACACATATTTTTGTTTGCTGCAATTTATCGATTGCATGGTGTGCTATGCCTTTGAAATTTATCAAACTGTATGTGGGATCATGAAGCTGAACCACGGTGGAATCTTCCATTATGTGAACATACCCTCATGGATTCCCATTCACAGATATTGGGATTATTTCCACTTATTTTCGACCACTTAATGGTGTTAGCATTAATCTCTGGGTACACGTCTCTGGGTACACGCACAGGGTACAGTGCAAGAATTTCTCTAGGTTTCTACTTAGACTTGTTAAAGCAGAACATAGACCTATGTGTAACTTGGCTAATTGTCAGTGGTTCTCTAAAGAGGTGATATCAGTTTATACCTGTTACCAGCATTGGAAGTGAGTTTGTCTTCCTACAGCCTTGTCGGCCCCTGGTGTTATCAGACTTTTTGACTTTTGCCAATCTGATGTGTGTGAGAGGGCACGCCATTGCCTTAAGTTGTGTTTTCCTAACTTCTAACAGGGTAGGCATTTTTCTCATACAGCAGACATTGGCCATTCACATTTCCTCTTCTCTGAACTGCATGTTCAAGTTCTTGCTCATCTTTAGATGATCTAGTCTTTTTTAAAATAAAAAATTGATCTATAAGAGTAATTAAAATATATTCGAATGCCAGGCCTTGGTCTACATGAATGCTGCAAATATTTTCTTCCAGGAAGGGATGGTTCTATTAATTTTGGTATTATCTGCTATGCAAAGGTTTATTTTTTAACTTTTTATGTGTATGTCTTATGCTATGCAGAGGCTCTTAATGTTAATGTAGTGATATTATTCAATCTATTTCTTTTTTTTTGAAATTAAAAGAGAATGTGTTTCTTTTTTTTTTTTAAAGATTTTTTTTATTAAATCATAGCTGTGTACATTAATGCAATCACGGGGTACAGTGTGGTGTTTTCATATACATTTTGAAATACTCTTATCAAACTGGTTAACGTAGCCTTCACGTCATTTTCTTAGTTATTGAGTTAAGACATTCATACTCTGCTTTTAGAAAGATTCACTTGTACCCTCAATCCATTTCTTTATGTCTTAATTAGTTCTATCCTACTCTCCAATAAATAAAGACATTTATCCAAATTTTTCCCAATATTTTTCACATTTAAGTTTTAAGTCAATGTGAAATTTATTTCTTTGGTACGGTATGAAATAAGGGTCTAGTTGTTTTTCTAATTGGAAGCCCATTCATTCCAACATCATATAACTGAAAAATTCATCTTTTCCTCATTAATTTCTTAGGCCAGCTCTGTTAAACACTAAGCAAAATAACGACATGGATCTATCTGGGGGCTGTTTTGTGCCATGAGTTTGTTTAACTCTGGTCTAGTACTCCCCTGCCTTAATTGCTATAGCTTTATGGAAAGCCATGATATCTGGGAGGGCAAGTCCCTCCCATCTCAACTTTTCAGAATTAGTCATATAAATTTTAGGATTATCTACTCCAGTTCTAGTTTTTACAAAAGCAACACGCTTGGCACGTTAATTAGATTTGCATCACATTTAAAGATTGAATTGGTGGAATCATACCTACAGTGCACCTTACAAGGGTACATGTGAAATTTACTAGGTGTAGAATAGAAATGTCTTGACACAGTAACTCAGAAAATGCCACGAAGGCTGAAAAAAAAAATCTATAGATTGATTTGAGAATTGAACCATCTCTGCTCATTTGGGTCTGCCCAGATATTTACCAGTTTGTTCTCTATTACTTCTCAATACCTACCCTTCCTGAGCTCAGTCTCCTCTCTCTTCAAGTCTATCCTTTACCAGTTCTTTCAATGCGGGTGTCTGCGTAGTAAGTTCTCCTAGCCCTTGATTGTCAAAAACTATTTTTATGCCTGATTCTCAGTTCCAATTCTCCATTTGTGTGGGCCTGGGGCCATAATTCCTGTCCCCTGTGAGTACGGCCTGTGCAGTCGGTAGACGTCAGAGCCTGCGCGGCTCTGAGGTCCCCCAACTTCCTCAACACTGGCGGGTCTGCTTTCCACTCTGCTTTGAGTTTGCCTCTTTACGTCCGGCCCCTGAGGATTTCCCTTTATTTTGAGCTCAGCTTTATATAGTTATATTTCATCCTGTGTTTGTCCTGGCAAGTGGGGAGGGTCCCCATTAATCTTTTTAGTTACTCTTACTGGAAGTCCACATATTCTATTTATAATAAATTTCTCTCTTGGTGATGTTTATTCCTCTCCTTTCTATCATGGAAATACGATATAATAAAGCAGGCATGACAGGGACAGCTGGACACTTGTTATTCTGTTTTAATAAAAGTTATAGTTTCTAAAATTTCTCTTGATTTTGGTACAGAGGGAGCATTCCCCAGGCAATAACTTGGGAGAATGCAATTGTCTGCCAAGAAATGGGATTTTCCATAGGTTTCTATTCTCCTGCATCTCTCTCACTTCTCTTTGCTCTACAGAGCTGATCCCTGAGGAGAAACCTGCTCAATATTTGATTTACACTCTCTACACTGAGAACACCAGAGCAGCGTATTGAGAAACCGTCCCCGTGAGGAAGCCAGGCCCAGGGCAGATCTGCAGCTCAGCTCCTGCTGCAAACCCACAGCTGGCTGGAGGCTGAACTGGGTCCAGAGCCTGGGAATGCACAGCTTCTAATAGATGAATGGGATCAATCTCATTTGCATTTCATCGTGACTCAGGAATTCCGCGGTACTGAATCTCAGGGCAGATTAAAATGCATGGGTTTAATCAGCCCAAGCACTCCCCAGTCCTGACACTGGACTGCAAGACTTCCATCCACCCTAATGACAGGACCCAAGTTCTCCTACCAAGAAGGAATAGTCCACTTTTGCCACAGTAGAGCCAGTGTGAGATGGTGGAGTCCAAATATGGCTCTCTTCCGAGATGTGTGACCATGTGCAAGGCATTGAGAATGGTCAAAATAGTCACAGGGATATGAATAAAGTGGGGGCACAGCCCAGCTAGTGTATTCCCAGCTAGTTGGGAATACTTTCAGGATAATCACACATGGGCCAGTCAGAGAGGCCATCGACTGGGGTATATTCATAGAAAGGCTGACATAAGATTCACCTTCTTGACCAGACAGTTAATTTCTTTTCTTTTTTGAGACAGAGTCTCACTTTATCACCTTGGTAGAGTGGTATCAAAGCTCACAGCAACCTCAAACTCTTGGGTTCAAGCGATTCTCTTGCCTCAGCCTTCCAAGTAGTTAGGATTATAGGTAACTGCCATAACACCCAGTTATTTTTAGAGGTGAGGGTCTCAATCTTGTTCAGTCTGGTCTCAAACCTGTGAGCTCAGACAATCCACCCGCCTCCGCCTCTCAGAGTACTAGGATTACAAAGCGTGAGCCGCTGCACCCAGCCACCAGACAGTTAATTTCCATAAAAGGTATCTACTATGACATCTAACCACAAATATTCTGACCCAGAAAAGGATTGAATGGAAGAAGATGGACCGAGTGGGGGTATAGGGTGAGGAGAAGATCAGATAAGACTTAATAATCAGTTATGCCTTTAGTGATGAGAAAATAGTAAGAGATTAAAGAATATATTTTGCAAAGCAGAAACAGTGATTTTGATTAGTATTGCATCATCATCCTTGATACCTTCCCCTTCCAAAAGAAGAGACAGCCTCTACACCTTGGGCAGGATGGGTCCACTTGAGGAATGGAAGCCAGCTTCACCATCACATAGCGCTTTGGTCACAAGCGACTGTTCATTTTGTCATTTCCCTTGTTGGACACCCGAAGTGGTCACCCGGTAGCCAATGGAAATCTTACATCTTACTAAGCCAAGACCCAAAGGCACACTGCCACCTTGAACAATTTACAATGCATCAGCAGAACCCACATGCTGGAAGAAGAGAGAAGATGAAGTCCTTTAAATCTTAAGATCAGATTTCATCTTAATAAGTCACCAAGGGGTGGGAAAGATAAGGTGAAACTCCTCCTTGTGCAAAGGTGGTTGGGGATGACCTTGCAGAATGCAGGAGGAGGAGACTCTGGTTTCAGAAGCAATGACACTGGTGGTTGTAGATGGTGGCCATGGTGACTCTCCAAGTGACTTTTTATCCCAGGCACTCAGCTGTCTCCACCTGGGTTGTACTGGGGGGTCTGGCGGGAGGGGCTCCCGTGTGGAGGGGGGCTGCCAAGACTCACCTGTTGAGATACACCCGCTTCTCAGTGAACTGCCCGTTGCCGTGGTGAGGGTCCTCGAAGGGCTCATTCTGCACGACCTCCACACCCTCTCCCCGGTCGCTCTGTTCGTGGCTGTGCTTGCTGATCATGTACAGCTGTCCGATTTTGTACTGCAAAACACACAGAGACCGAGGCACAGAGGTCAGCGCCACCGCTCGCCTTTGACACATCACCACCAGTACCACCAGCACCACAGGGCAGCGAGCAGCTACTAACATCAGCACCTTCTGCGGAGATGAAGAAGCGGCCACCTTTCCTCTGATGTTACTTTTCCGAGGGAGCAGGGGAGAGAATGAGTGGTGAGAGGAAGGTAGAAACAGTGTGTTCTTGAGAACATTCCGCATCACCTTGGCAAGTGTTCCCTGGGGTGGCTGGCATGGCTTTTGGCAGCTGTCCAAGCCTCAGGAAGGGGGCACTGGATCCCCTTTCCATGCTGGCCCAGCAGGGTTACATGGAGTTAAAAGCCCTATTTGGCATGGCCATAACAGCGGGGGATCGGGGGGGGGGGTTTCAGCCCCTGCTTTCTCCCTGATTAACAGCATTGCTGAGTGCATAGGATTAGATATCCACTCTCTCAATGTACTCAACACTTCTGGAGGCCTATGTCCCCCAGAACAGCGGTTCTCAAAGATGGCTGGATGTTAGAATCACCTGGGAGTTTTGTTGTTGTTGTTGGTATTGTTTGGGGGGCAGCTTTTGAGGGGAAATAGTCTCACTCTGTTACCCTGGGTAGAGTGCAGCAACCTCAAATTCCTGGGCTCAAGTAATCCTCCTACCTTAGCCTCCTGTATAGGCTCCCACCACAATACCCAGCTAATTTTTCTATTTTTAGTAGAGACAGTTTCTCACTCTTGCTCAGGCTGGTCTCAAACTCCTGAGCTCAAGAGACCCACCAGTCTCAGCCTCCCAGAGTGCGAGGATCATAGGTGTGAGCCACCATGCCCAGCCCACCTGGGAAGTTTTAAAAGCGCCAGATGCCCAGGCTGTACCAGGCGTGGGGCCAAGGCTGAGAGCAGTGTTCCAGAAAGCTGTTGCCCACCAAAGACCATCTACAGAATCTTCAACTCTTTTTCACCCAAGTCTATGAAGAGCGTGGAGCTTTTCATCACAGAGCAGGACACGCTATAAACATTTTTTATCCTTTCTTTAGTTCCCAGTTATTCCATTCTCCTTCCTGCTTCTCTGAAAACCTCGGGGCCAGCAGGCATTTCCTCTCCCAGTGGACTTCACAGTGGCAAAACTAATCTGACGGAGGAGGCACCAGGAGTACAATCACTTTTGCATGAGAGACAACTCTGCTTAGCCTCAGGACAAAGACGGGGTGATCCTGCTGTGGTCCCTCTGGCAGACCCAGTGTAAGCCCACAGAGACACGGTGTCATTACCTCTGAGGCCTGTGTGGTAGGGGAGAGGGGCCCGAGTGTGCTGCGAGCTAATGTCGACTCTAGGTTGGTCCCCAAAGAACCCAGGCCAGCAGGGACACAGGGCCTCTGTCAGAGAGAGTGAGAGAGCGAGAGAAGTACATGTTAAATGAAGGGGCAGGTGAACTGTGTAAGGTAACAGTGCAGCCGGTTCCGCAGCTGAGGACACATGTGTCTGAAGATGTCTCTTTCATCTGAGGCCAGTGCAGGGCCGGGAGTGTCAAGATGCTCTGAAAGGCTCTCCTGCGCAGCCAGCCCTGGGGACGGGCCTGTAACCATGACAATGGAAGGGACCTGGTGGGGTCTCCTTGAAGGGCTGCACTTCCTGCCCCTCTCCAGAATGGTCTGCGTTTAAAATACTTTTAATGGGAGCAGGGGTGTGTGTGTTCACCTATGTGTGCTTAGGGAGAGGTAGGAGCGCTGGGGATAAGAGCCAAAAGAAAGAGGAAGTGGACAGATAAAACCAATGTGTAAAATGAATTTTAGGATCAGAAGCTTGATCTGGTCCAGAGAACTGCTTTGGCTTTTGCTCCTAAAAACTCAACACTCTTCCAAGGAGAAAGACACTAAGGAAAAGCATATGCATTGGAGATTGGCGTGCTACATCTGTGAGGAGGAACACTCCAACAGACAGTCGCATGCAGATGGCACAAAAGTCTGTCACCAGGTGCTCAAAGCGGGTGGGAATTCCACTGACTTTGTACTTGATGTTGACAAAATAATGTTTACATACAGTGGAATATTATTCAGCCATAAAAAACAATGAAGCACTGATACTGAAACTCCTTAGTGGGTGTTAGGGCTGAATTATACTCCCTCTAAAATGCGTATGATGAGTCCTAAGCCTACCTCAAAATGTAATCTTATTTGGGAATAGGGTTTTGTTTTGTTTTGTTTTTGAGATGGAGTCTCATGCTGTTGCCCTTGGTAGAGTGCCGTGGCATCACCATACTCACAGCAACCTCAAACTCTTTAGCTCAAGCAATCTTCTTGCCCTCAGTTTCTCTATTTTTAATAGAGCTGGGTCTCACTCTTGCTCAGGCTGGTCTTGAATTCCTGAGCCCAAGCAATCCACTTTCCTCGGCCTCCCAGAGTGCTGGGATTACAGGCGTGGGCCACAATGGCTGGCCTGGCGATGGGGTCTGTACATGGGTTATTATCCAGTACGGCCGGTGTCCTTATAATAAAGGGAAATTCGGACACAGACAGAAATAGAGAAGATGATGTGAGAAGAAGACACCCATCTCAATCCCAAGGGTGGAGGCCTGGGACAGAACCTCCCCTCAGCCTTCAGAAAGAACCACGCCTGCTTACACCTTGATTTCTAAGTTCTGGCCTTCAGAACAGTGAAGGAATAAACTCTTGTTTAAGCCACGTAATCCATCGTCAGAGTGGCCCCAATAAACTACTTGGGTCCACAGGTGCCGGATTTCCTTCAGGGGCAATGAAAGTGTTTTGGGTGGAAGGAGTGATCGCACAGCATCACAAACGTCCCAGATGCCACCAAATTGTTCCCTTCAAAGTGGTGGATTTTATATCACATGAATTTCACCTTAATTTTTTTTTAAAGTGTCAACTCTCACTTAAAGCTGATACCCCTAAACCCAGGTCCTGTCCAGGGCTTCGTAGGGTGGTTGGCGAAAACTCGTTCCGCTGCTGGCCCGTCTTCAGGTGCTCTAACCTGCTCATGTATGACAAATGGATGGAATCAAGGTCACCGTGTGACACAGAAAAGCCATTAGCCAGACGCGCGTCAGCCCTGGCTCTGCTCAACCTGAGGACTTCCTGCTCGGTGGGGACAAGAGCGGCTCCAGCAGCTGATTCATCAGCAGCCAGAGCAGGGCCCAGCCACCCACCTTCATTGATCATTCCAGAGGCTCCTGCATGAGCCAGTGCAAGGCAGACACCAGCATTAGCTCACCACGGCAGCGCCAGTCTGGGGGTGACCCACGGATGCTAGGGGCGGTGGGACACTCAAGCCCAGACACGGGATGGCCCAGGGCTCTGAGGCTGTCACTTCTTTCCTTCCCAAGAAAATCAGGCCTGGTTGTGGCTGTGGGAGTTTGGCCGTCTAGAAGCAGTAGTTTTGTTATTCTTTTAAAATCTCAAATTGACTCTAAGACACAAGCAGCAAACTGTTTCTCAGTTGGGGGAGTGGGAAGGGACAGATAGTCCTTGAACCACCTGTTTCAAAATCACAAGTGACCCTCCTAAAAATGCTGAATTCTGGTTCATTATAGACCTTCTACATTCAGGCTCCGGGTAGAGGACAGTGGGATTCTTACTCAAATGCACGCTAAATGCTGTGAGCCCTAGGAGCAGAGCACGCAAAGGCACTTCTCGGCATTCTCTCTCAGTACTAAGTGTTCCGTCTTTAGGCAGCCTGTATTTTTTTTTTTTTTTTTTTTGAGACAGAGCCTCAAGCTGTCCCCCTGGGCAGAGTGCCGTGGCATTACAGCTCACAGCAACCTCCAACTCCTGGGCTCAAGCGAGTCTCCTGCCTCCGCCTCCCAAGTAGCTGGGACCACAGGCGCCCGCCACAACGCCCGGCTATTTTTTGGTTGCAGCCGTCATTGTTGTTTGGTGGGTCCGGGCTGGGGATTCGAACCCGCCACCTTAGGTGTACGTGGCTGGCGCCTTAGCCGGTTGAGCTATAGGCGTCGAGCCCAGCCTGTATTTTTTGCCCGCTTTCATACTTGCTCATTTCTTGCAAAGCTCCATTCCTAATTTAGTGAAAATACCACATCCCTGATCACCAACTCCAAACGAACGTGTGTGTTGAATGAAGACTGTAAAATCCAAACACACAGAAGGGTTCTGAAACTTTCAAAGCCTGAGAATTGATCAGAGAATTGATGAGGATGTTGATGTAACATTGCTTTCTTACCTGCCCGTTAGGCACTGCTTAGACACTTTATATTCATTTCTAATTTTACAAAGATTGGCAGATGAGGAAGAGTCTCATCCGCGTCTCAGAGAGGTTAAAGACTTGCCCCACACCAGGCGGCTTCTGGATGACAGAATCAGGATTTGAACCCCACAGATCTGTGCCCTTTCTATTCCACCCCTCTATAGGCCTTATGTCCTGACCAGGTAAATTACTTTAACAAATCTAGAACTCGCTGTGATTAAAAAAGCAAGGAGAGGGAGGTGGCAGAAAGCTACTGCCTCTGAATTTTGCTATTTCAGAAGGTGAGTAACAAAAATCTGATTGAAAGATCAAAGTTGTTTAATCTGTGCTCACATAAGGAAAGGCGGGACAATTATGCTCTAACTTGGTAAAATCTATTGTTATAATTCTGGAGTTTGGGTAATCATCATTATAGGCAATCACGATTAGAGATAGCTCCACACTGCAGGCTGAACCTCCATGTGAGCTATCATCAGAACAGCTACCCCAAATAATTATCTCTGTAGTCAAAAAAAAAAAAAAAAAAAATCATGGGATCCAGAGCTTTCCCCCACACAGTGCTGTGTGTCTGATAGAGTTGCAAAGTTTGAGACGAGGCAGAGTTGCATAACGTGCTGGAGATGCTGAGCAGTTTCATCGTTTGTACTTTTGCAAACTCTCGGGCTAAGCTCCGTCAGGTGACTTCATGCAGTTCAATTTTGAACCTTGATTTCAAAAAAGGCAAAAACTTGTGAGTACAGTAAGGGATTATTAACTGAGCTGCAACAATACTTGTAACA